TCACTTCAGTGTCTTTCTGTTTTAGGCATTCTAGTAGGTGTGTAGTAGGATATCAATGTGATTTTAATTTACTTTTCCCTAATGACTAATCATGTTATTTTTTCATTTGCTTATTTGCAATCCACACATCTTGTTCAAATACTTCTCCCATTTTAAAATTGGGTTCTTGTTATTAAGTTTTGAGAATTCTTTATATATTCTGAATACAAGTTCTTTATCAGAAATATTCTTTGCAAAGATTTTTCTCCATTTGTGACTTGCCTTTTCATTCTCTTAACTGTGACCTCTGAAGAGCAGAATTTTGATGAAGTCCAATTTATGAATTTGTTCTTCTATATATCATTCTTTTGGTGTCACATCAAAGAAAGCTTTGTTTAACCCAAGGTCAAAAAAATTTCCTCCTCTTTTCTTCTGGAAGTTTTATGCTTAAGCTTATAATCCACTCTCATACACTGCTGGTAGGAATGTAAAATGATATGATCACTTTGGAAAACAGTTTGGCAGTTTCTTAAAAGTTAAACACACACCTACAATATGGTCCAGCCATTCCACTCCTGGGTATTTACTCAAAGAGGAAAGAAAGACTATGTCTATGTAAAGACCTGTACACAAATGTTCACAGCAAGGTTATCTGTAATATCCCAAAATGGAGACAACTCAAATGTTCATCAACAGGTGATTCATAAATTGTGGTACAGCCATACCATGGACTACAACTCAGCAATAAAAAGGAATGAAATATTCACTCACACCACATGGATAAATCTTAAAATAATTATGCTGAATGAAAGGAACCAAACCAAAGAGTATATACTGTATGACACCACTTACATAAAACTCTTTTTAGAAAAAAGAGGAAACCCATCTACAGGATAGAAAGCAAAACAGCGGTTGCCTGGCTGAGGCAGAGAGGGATTCACTGAAGGGCACAAGGAGACTTCTGGGGCTGAGACATCTTTGCTACCTTGATGGTCTCATGGGAATATACATGTTAAAACTTGTCAAATTGTGTATTTTATTAGGTGCTGTTTTATTTAGGTAAATGATATCTCAACAAAGCTTTTTTCTGTCTTTCTTTTTCCCCCAAAGCAATGGTAGATTAAACTGTACAGTGCACAGATTTCAGTGAACACGTGGTCCTTTGGTACCAAGAAGCTGAAGAATTAATAACATACAATCAGTTTTGTTTGCCTTCCATGATGTAAAGCAGTAATCTCAGGACTTACTTTTCCTCACCGAAATTCTGGTGAAGATTCTAGATTTGCATCTATCAGAAAAGATCCTGAACCAACACACAGCAATTAGTGTGTTTTAACCAGGAAAACAGCAATATATCTAGAAACTGCCAATCCACTATCCAGAGAATTATTCCTACAAATTGCCATTGGTATCTACTACGTACTGAGTTCTGAATTACCCGTCTTTAAATTTCTATTAAAATTGTTTCCTAGTGCACTGCTCCTTCATTCAGCAAACCACCTCTCCCATGGACCTTATTCTTCAAACTCCCCTTCATTTCAGTTTCTACTGCATCTCTGGTGTTAACTTACTGTGTGATCACTGAAAGTCTCTTCATCTGTATTTAAAGCGGTTGGACTAGGTGGGGTCTCTAAAATTCATGAGTTCAATCTTTTATTTGTCATATATTGTATTATGTGCTGCACCCTAGGAGGGATGCAGAGATGAGAAAACACGGCCCCTATCTTCAAAGAACTTACAAACTAGAAAGGAATAGTGCAGAAGTGCCAAGTATCTTCAACAGAAG